ATATATACACATATATGTGTGAGTTGTTTTTTTCAAAATAAAATATGTATATATATTTATATATATTTATATATTTTTTATTTTGATATATATTAGTGCTAAATGTGACTCGCACTTCGCTGATTCACAGAAAAAAAGATTCTTTTCTTGTCCTTTTCTCCCCATTCCTTCTCTCCCTTGTCATCTTCCTGTGATAAAGTCACATGAGGTCATCGGTTTGCCCGCTGCTAGTTTTGTTGCACTGTCGCAAAATGTAACCATTAAAACAAAGCTGCTTGTTGAGCTGCCTCTCACTGGAGCGGTGTCAGTCCTGTGGACAGGCACGACGAGTGCAGAGGAAAAGGGCTTGACGGGCGATCAGCACATACCGCACCTTCGTACAAATATTTCACAACACTTAGAGGCAGCGCATCAGATCTTGAAGAGCAGCTGTGGTGAATAGGTGACTAAATAGATGCAAGTAATAATAGTAATAATAATAATTATTATTATTATTAGCAGGGCTTTCTGATCTGAAAACTTCAACTGCTTCTCTTGCACCCCCCCTTCTCTCTCTCTCTCTCTCTCTATCCATCCATCCATCCATCTATCCATCCATCTATCCATCTATCCATCCATCTATCTATCTATCTATCATCCATCCATCAACCCCCCCATCCATCCATCCATCCATCCATCTATCTATCTATCTATCTATCTATCCATCCATCTATCCATCTATCTATCTATCTATCCATCTAGCTATCTATCTATCCATCTATCTATCCATCCATCTATCCATCCATCTATCCATCCATTTATCCATCCATCTATCCATCTATCTATCCATCTATCCATCTATCCATCCATCTATCTATCTATCTATCATCCATCCATCAACCCCCCCATCCATCCATCCATCCATCCATCTATCTATCTATCTATCATCCATCCATCAACCCCCCCATCCATCCATCCATCCATCCATCCACCCACCCATCCATCCATCCATCCATCCATCTGGGTTGGCCAAAGTACTGCCAGTGTTTGTGGGTGTGGGCATTACTTTTTCCTATCTTCAAATTCTGACAACTTCTTCTTTTTACAGGTAGACGCTGATGATGTCATCACAAGAGATGAACAGATCTACATTGTGATTGGTGCACATGCCCGGTGTGAAAGAAGCATCCAAGCCCAAATGTTACAGCTTAAAGGTTTGTTTATTTGTTTGTTTGCTTCACACCACCGCATTTGTGAAAAAAAAAGAATTATTATTATTGTTGTTGTTATTATTATAACAACATATACGATTAATACAATTGATGTGTCCCTTTTCCTGAAGATGGTGAATGTGTCCCAGAGTGGGACGGGATCATCTGCTGGCCAAAGAGCAAACCAGGTCAGCTGGTCTCCGTTCTGTGTCCGAAATACATCTACGACTTCAACCATAAAGGTAGGACAGCTTGATGTCGATGTGCTCCGGTTCACATTCAGTTTAAATCCTATTGCCTCGACCAGCAACTCCTTTGACGGTTATTGAGTTAGAAACTACCCAGATCCTGTAGCGGTTAGCTGCTAGCTAGTAAATTATTGTTGCTTGACGAACAGGATTAGCTTCCTGAAAATTGGGGCAAAGAGATACTTTTCAACCAATAAATGCTTTCTATCTCATGTCACTGGTCTATTACTTCATGATTATGTCCTAAATGCCCAGGACGAGCCTATCGCCAGTGTGATGCTTCAGGAAAGTGGGAGCAAGTGTCCAGCGTCAATCGCACTTGGGCTAACTACACGGAGTGCACCACATATTTGATCTCCAATCGCAGGAACCAAGAGCAGGTGAGTTCGTGTGCGTCCGGCGTTTATCGTATATCCGGTACTTAGAGGGTGTGTATTCTTACTCTAGATTGGGCCGAAACCACATTTAAAGAGGCAGTCAGTAAAGCATTGACTGAGTATATTTTTTTAAAAGGTGACCTTTTCCCCCTATGTTGTGTTTTCAAGAAGGTGTTCGAGAGGCTTCACCTCATGTACACCGTGGGCTATTCCATTTCTCTGGGATCTCTGCTGGTGGCTATCTTCATCCTGTGCTATTTCAAGTAAGAAACCCAATTGTCGTGGTGATGCTTGATTGGCCAATGTTGTCTTTGTTGACAAACATGATGTTTTTTATACAAATGTTGTTTCATACATAGAATAATGTAGTCTTGTATATTACAGTACAGTGAAGTATAGTATAGTATAGTATAGTATAGTATAGTATAGTATAGTATAGTATAGTAGCGGCACGGGCCTCATCTGGCCCCCTGGCCTTAGTTTGCCCATGCCTGCTTTAGCAAATCTAGTAATACTCTCGGCCTGCAGGGGTAATACAAAATTGAACTCGTATACATACACTGGTAAGTCAAAATTTCTAATTAAAAGAAGTGTGTTTTGTTTTTGTTTACAATTTTTTTTGCCTGTTTACCTATTGTTGATTCTATTCCCATAATCATAACCCACACAAACAAGACAATATGTCTTGATATGAACTTTTTTTTAGTTCCACAACAATAAAAAAACACAACTACAGCATGCTATAATTTTGAACAACCCTCATTACATATGGAAGTGAAGTAATAGGGAAACCTGTTTTTTTTTGTAACTTTTTCAATGTTCTTTTTGACCATAAATAACATAAGCCACATGGTTTCGTATAGAACAGTGTAGTGCAATATGGTACTGAAAAGTACTGTCTTATATTGTATAAAGTATAGTACAGTACAGTACAGTGCATTCCATTACAATACAGTGCAATGCAGTACAGTACAGTAGGTAATATTTATTACTGTCCAGGTTTGCGAGGGAGAGGGCAAAGTCAGTAGTGAAGAGTACTTTGAGTAGTCATATAGGGAAATAGGGAAACCTGTAAGTTCAGACCATTTACTATTTGGAGTACAGTATATTAAACTACAGTAGAGAAATGGATTGTAATTGTTACATTCTCTAGACCATATGTGTCAAACTCAAGGCCCATGGGCCAAATGCGGCCTTCCAAGCCGTTTTGTGTGGCCCGCAGGAGCTTAAAAAGCATTTCATAAATCCATGACGCAGAGTTTCTTAACCTTCTTAAAACTTAAAGTTATTGTTATCATACAGAAATGAACAATAACATGTATTAGTCTGTTATGGAGTAGTTCCATCCATACCAGCGGTCACCAACCTTTTTTGGTTCCAAGGACTGGTCAGCCAGTACCAAGGTACCAAGGTGCTGAGCATTGAAGGATCATTACATTTTCAAAATAAAATATGGTTTAGATTCTGTTTGTATCAGAGTCTGAATTACCTTTTTTGTTTGTATCAGAGTCTGAATGACCTTTTTTTAAAAAAAAAATATTGCCAGATTATCGTTAAATAAAGAAAGTAAATTGATATGGTGGATTCTTTGAATGAAGTAAATTAGTAAAAATTAAGCACATTTTTTCACTGTGTCCCCCTGTGGCCTGGTACCAAATGACCTATGGACTAGTACTGGTCCGCGGACCAGGGGTTGGGGATCCCTGATCTATACAGTCTTCCATTTACAACTGGCCCTTTAAAGAGAACTGTATTGGTGATGTGGCCCACGGTGAAAATGAGTTTGACACCGCTAGTCTAAACAATACAAAATAGTTTGAGACAAATGATGCTGCCGGATTAACACAATAATGGATAATATGTTTTGTCAAAATACCAGATTTTATTAACTTTGTTAACACCCTCACTCTTTCTCACGAACACACACACACACAAACAAACAAACAAACCATCCCAGGCGTCTTCACTGCACACGCAACTACATCCACATTCACCTCTTCACTTCCTTCATTTGCCGGGCGGTCAGCATATTCGTGAAAGACGCCGTGCTCTACTCTGTGTCCGAAGACGGTACCGCTGAGCCTGACTTCACCACCGAGGAGCCACACAGGGTAAACCAGACGCTGCATCTCTGCGTTCATTTCCATCCAGTCATCAGCCTCATCACCGCTGCTCTGTCCTGTGCTCACAGGCCGGCTGTAAAGTTGCTGTCACCCTCTTCTTCTACTTCCTGGCCACCAACCACTACTGGATACTGGTGGAGGGTTTGTACCTGCACAGCCTTATCTTTATGGCCTTTCTCTCCGATAAGAACTACCTGTGGGCCCTCACCATCATCGGCTGGGGTAAGTGGCATTCAGAGGTTTGGAAGAATTAGTCGTGGCTAACGAAGCAGCAATTACTTTTTCCCTTTCTTCTTGTTTCCTCAGGTGTTCCCGCTGTGTTTGTATCCATATGGGTTAGCGCTCGAGCCTCATTGGCAGACACACAGTGAGTCGTTTGATGTATCTTTGTCAAATAATGAATAATAATCTACCGTAATTTCCGGACTACAAGCCGCCACTTTTTTCACACGCTTTGAACCCCGTGGTTTAAACAATGATGCCGCTAATTTATGGATTTTTACAGGCTAACAAAGTTCATACCGCTAGCGATCAATGACTTTCCTAGCAAAAAGGGGGCACTCTTAGCCAGGAGGGGGCACTCTTTTGTATCTTTGTCAAATAATGAATAATAATCTACCGTCATTTCCGGACTATAAGCCGACACTTTTTTTCACACGCTTTGAACCCCGCGGTTTAAACAATGATGCCGCTAATTTACGGATTTATACAGGCTAACAAAGTTCATACCGCTAGCGATCAATGACTTTCCTAGTAGGCTACACAGGCTAAAATGTGTGTAGCATCTTTCTGTGTAATTTTTTTTTTTTTTTAATTTAATGGGTGCGACTTATATTCAGGTGCCTCAATAGTCCGGAAATTACGGTATACATTTCAATGTGTTTTAAGTGTTTAAAGCGAACTATTCAGGCAGTATCGCGCTGCCACATCCAATCAGTGACGACTTCACCTTCCTGAAGTAAGCAATGAAGTTTGCGAACAATAGCGGACAAGGTTATCATTGCTGTGTGTGGACATCAACACTGCTGCCATTATGTCAGGACCGGAATAAAAAAAAAGATGCATAGGTTAGCCAGGAGGGGGCACTCTTTTGTAAATTGAAAGACTTTCTTTTTTTAATTTACAAAAGAGTTTTACTGATACTGATAGTTAAGTCTCAGTTGTTTTGTTTTTTTTAATCCTCACAATTTTGGAATCCAGTCACGGGCCGGATTGGAGGATTTAGCGGGCTGGATTTGGCCCCCGGACCGTTAGTTGAGGGTCAGTGGTTTAAAGATGTACTATTGTTTTTGCTTCCAGATGTTGGGACATCAGTGCTGGAGACCTAAAGTGGATCTATCAGGTTCCCATTTTGGCAGCCATTGTTGTGAGTCAGTGTGTTGCTTTTTTTTCATGAATTATTATGACAATTTCTCATCTGAGTTACTCTCCACTGAAAACAGCTTTTGTCGGTAATGATTAGTTATTTGTGCATTAAACGCACAGAAAAATTGCAAGTTTATATATATTTTTTTATATATATATATTATAAGTCGCAGTTTTTTTATCCTTTGACTGGGTTCATGACTCATACTCACGTGCAACTTACTGTTTATAATAAAATATATAATTTCACATGTTTATTATTTGTACACTGATAGCCACTAGAGGGCACTCTAGGCTTGTATACCAGTATCTGCTACTCCTGTACCGCTGAAAATTTACATGTTTGTTATTTTTACACTGACAGCCACTAGAGGGCACTCCAGCTGACTGGTGCGGCTTATACTCCGGAGCGACTTAGAGTCCGGAAAATATGGTAATCAAGTCCTAATTATCAAGTCTTCTTCTCTGCTCCTGCAGGTGAATTTTCTCCTCTTTGTCAACATTATTCGTGTTCTTGCTTCCAAACTGTGGGAAACCAACACGGGTAAACTGGATCCTCGCCAACAGTACCGGTAATTCTTTATCAACATCGACATAAGACCGAAAATCACCGCGCTTCGCAACAAGCAAAACCAATCAGTGACTGTTCCATTTGTTTACCTGCAGGAAGCTGCTCAAGTCCACGTTGGTCCTCATGCCCTTGTTTGGAGTTCACTACATGCTCTTCATGGCCCTTCCTTACACTGAGGTCGCGGGGCTGCTGTGGCAGGTGCAGATGCACTACGAGATGTTCTTCAACTCCTCTCAGGTCGGAATGATAAAGAAAAAGTCAAGTCTCTGTTTTGGTCCTGACTGCTGCTGTTGTCCACTAACTGACGTGTCCCCATTTTCTTTGAAACAAAATCCAGGGCTTTTTCGTGGCTTTTATCTACTGTTTCTGCAACGGAGAGGTACGTTCATTGATTCCTCTTCAGGATTGTGATTGTGTGCAAATATAACTTCACATTAATAAAGTCATCCCTTCTGTTCCCAGGTGCAGGCCGAGGTAAAAAAGGCCTGGTTGAGGCGCAGCCTCACTCAGGACCTCAAACAAAAAACCAGGATAACGAGCAGCGGCGGTGGCGGCAGCTGCTACTACAGTGGCATGATGTCACACACCGCCACGCAGAGCATTAGCTTTTCTGCTGCCAATACCAGAGGGCTCTCCTTGGGCAGCGGAGCAGCAGGACCAGCTGCTCCTCAAGGCGCACTGTTGAGGCCGCAACGGCACACCTCGCCCCAGCCACCGGGCGGCCCTCGTCTTTATGTCCCCAGTGATACCGAGGCCTCTGGGCTTTTAGCCAGGAAGGTCAGGACCAGCAAACAACATGTTAACGCCGATAGTCAAGGAAGAGCTTCAACCCAGCCTCCCAGAACAGAGGAGTCAAACAGCCCTTCACCTCTGAGAGAGCTGGAGACTTCTTTGTGATTCATGAGTCACAGACATATGTCCTTCTCTTCTCTCTCTTTTCCATCTGCTTTGAAAGAGAAAAATGAAAACAAAAAACAAAAAACACATCCACCTGTCATGTTGTAGCAGTCCAGCAAATGCAGTTTTGTTTGTTTGTTTTTGATTTATTTGCTTTAAGTGAGCCTTTAGCACAGGCTTGGGCTAACTCTTTGACTCGCGGGCCACTATCGGTCCTAAAAATTGAACCGGGAGCTGGGTCAGGAGCAGAGAGATGGAGCATTGGTGTGAACAAAGATAAATGACATGTGAAAGTCATGCAGAAAGGCTAAAATGGTTTTAGCTTTTTCTATGCCATCTATAGGGTTCTCATCCAATCCGAAACTGTTCCATAACAAATTTTTACCTAAATAAATTCGAATTAAACAATATTTTTTACCTCCGAGGGTAAAATGTTTTGAACTTTTTGGTCGAGGTCTGAATTGTACGATGTCCGAGGGTCCGCTGTAGTATAGTATAAAATAGTAGAGTACAGTATCATATCATAATACAGCAAAGTAAAGTGTAGGGTAACAAAGCAGTTTAGCATACTGTAGCATAGCATAGCATAGTAAAGTATAGTAAAGTCTGTCTTGTAAAGAGATCTAATCTAATGGGTCCAACCTGGTCATATAAAGAAATTCAAAATAGTTTTGAATAGTAAAGTATGGTATCGTGTAGTGGCGTAGTACCTTATAATACAATCCAGTACAGTCTAGTATAGTGTGATAAGCTTTTGTATAGAACAGTGTAGTGCAATATGGTACTGAAAAGTACCGTCTTATATTGTCTAAAGTATAGTACAGTACAGTACAGTGCATTCCATTACAATACAGTGCAATGCAGTACAGTACAGTAGGTAATATTTATTACTGTCCAGGTTTGCGAGGGAGAGGTCAAAGTCAGTAGTGAAGAGTACTTTGAGTAGTCATATAGGGAAATAGGGAAACCTGTTTTTTTTTGTAACTTTTTCAATGTTCTTTTTTACTATAAATAACATATGCCACATATGTGAAATACACCTTTATCAACACGTTTAGGCAGAAACATAAACACGAACAAAGTTTGAAAATGGCACTAACAAGGAGCCGGTCAAACTAGGTTTGTCTTAACCCCGTAAACCAAAAAAACTCAACACGTTTAGGCAGAAACATAAACATGAACAATTTTTGAAAAAGTCACAAACAAGGAGGCGGTCAAACTTGGGTTTGTCTTAACCGTGTAAACCAAAAAAAAAAAAAAGTTTATGAAACATCATGACAACATTTTTTGAAAAAAATAAAATAAAATTGACCACATTCATTTCAATTCATTACATAGACAAACATTTTGTTTTTTTTAGTGATCACTATATGTTTATTTTGTCATTGTACATTACAGTTTTTTATGTATTTTGTGAAAATGATGTGTACAGAGAGGGCTTTTATTTTCAGACCTTACATGTTTCAATTCTTTTGACCGGACATTACGGACAGGCTCGATGTTTCAGTCAAAGTAAATGTCTGCTGCTGTCAGCCCAGACCTATTTATCAGTCTGCTAGCCTCTGAAGGGCTGAGACGCAGACGCACCGTCCCTTTTGGGTCAACATCAGCTCTTTCCACCATGTCACTTTTGACCCGAGTGCCTTCTATACAACATGCAGAATTTCACACACTCCTCTCAGGCCTCGCACCACACAGGTTTCCACAGGATTAACAGGCAAGTAATTGTGCCTGTAGACATACAATTACGGAGGAAAATTAATGTTGTTTCTGACTATCTTCATGAAGCACAAAAAAAAAAAAAACTAAAATCACAAAGGTCTTGCTGACTATCTTCATGAAGCACAAAAAAAACAACAAAAAACTAAAATCACAAAAGTCTTGTTTCCCGTTTAACCAAATCAACTAAACTACTTTATTTATGATTAATATGTGTTTATAGTGAAAGTGACAGGACATAAAATTTAGTGACATTTAGTTTAGTATAGTAAATATTTTTACTTTCAGCAATTAAATGAAAAAAAAAATTATTTGACCTACATGCGCAATGCCTCCAGAGGCCAAGAGAGGGCGACGGCTCACATAAATAACTGCATTGTGTTAACAAGTAATCAACTATTTTTTTTGGATGCCTCGATATTATCGATACTTCACACATACTGAATTTATATTATATTAAATTATATTAAATATTATTGTCTTGCACTATTAATTAATTTCAATTCAATTCAACGAGCAACGTTTTCTCTGGAACAACATGTCATGTCTGACTTTATTATGACAAATTAATCACATCTCTAGATCATCATAAACATGATGTAATTAACAACTGTAAATGTTAAACGCATATACAAAGTGTTTATCCGTTTGGATATTTAGTAGGAGCTTGAACACAAAAGGTCAAAAAACATAACATACAGTATTTTTTTTTATTCTTTATTAATTATAATTATATTTAAAAAATAAGTTAAGATACATTTAAAATGTATTTAAAAATAAACGAATTTCATCATTTGGATTTGTCACAAATAAAAACACCTGTGAAACACTTTACCTTTGTTGTAAAAAAGATGTAAAACAAACAAAAAAAACCACAGCATAGTATAAGTCTAAGATATTCGGGAGACATTTAAAATAGCACACTTAGATACGATTGGTTAATTATTTTTTTTTCTTTCTGGACTACATTGACCATTTGTTATCTTGCTAAAACAGACATAAATACACATTACCGTTGACACCTCAGCCATAGAACAAAGGCTCTGAATCCCCCAACCAGCAGTTGTTTGGTGACCAGCTGTCACTTCATTAGGGCAAACATTGGTGACTGACATCCCAATGGGAGACATATACGTGGGAGTGAGAGGGGGAGTAGGATGGGAAAAGCTCTAGTCTAATGAGGGAAGTGATGTTGCATCGATGATATCACCCAAAATGCTTGTTCATCCTTATAATGTAATACTCTTACAGACTCACACAGGCTTTTAGGCACAGGCCATGGTGTAGGATTCTAGCTTGGTTGAATATTGAGAGCTGAGTAAATGCAATATATAAAACGTTGCTACAAGCTAATTGATGAATTGAACACGTCACTATTTTTCTCAGTAAAAATGTTTGGCGTAATAATATGGAAAGGCGCCAGCGGAAATATGTACACTATCGGTAATTAGGCAGAATCCCGCCACTTGTCAGTGCCAATTAATGTCTGCCGCCTTGTTGTTGCAAACCGTACTGATTGGTTACAGAAGGATTACGAAACTCCGAATTACGAATGCGTCTGGGAGCACTGTTGCGTATATATACATACATACACACACAACTATATACATATATAAGACATATATGTATACATACATACACACACAACTATATATATATGAAAGACATATATGCAGTATATATGTGTGTGTGTCTTCACATTAGACAATTGAACATAGCGAAGGACAAAAAAACTCAAGTTACAGTAAAAAAGAAGAGAAATTTTGCCACCGCTGTGATGTCTAAAATTAACGTTTTCCTATACTGTTTAGTTCATTAACACATTTTGTTATTCTGTTGATTAAAACAGGTGTACTACAAATGGCGAGTAAACCCAACTGCGAGAGTTTCACTGGTAAATAAAGTGCATAGTCATGGATTAATATAAATTTGCTGCTGGAGGTTGATTTGTCGTCGCAAGTAAGCAGACAGTGACGTCACGAATTGGTAAAGGAGGGCGGGAGGGAGGTGAGGGAGGGAGAGAGAGAGCGAGATCTATGTTCGTCACAATAGAACCAGGACAGGGGTGTTCCGTGTGTCGCTGTGACCGTAGCTGCTGTCTTCTAATGATAGCATGCGGTAGCATCCAGGAGCGAATGAGGAGGAGCAGTGTTTTCGGACAGGGAGGAGTCCTGCGATAACAGGGCTGTCTCCTTCTCTCCTCTTTCCTCTTTCTCCTCCCTCTGCTGGATGGAGCCCAGCTGTGTGCAGTCAGCGATGGCCATGGGTGATGTCCAGAAAAAGGCGTCGTTCAGGAACGTAGCGGTGGAGCGAAATAACCTCATCACCGTCTGCAGAGAGAGAGCCAGTCCAGTAATATGTGTATGTGTGTGTGTGTGTGCGTGCTGTGTTTCTTCCTAAACATTTAGTATAATTGGTAGAAACTGTTGGTTTTTTTTAAAAATAACATTTATTTTAACATGTTAAAAGCACGTCATTGTATGACATCTGCACTGACGTCATACTATCAGTAAGTCAGTGTAGTGAGACTGTCATAGACTGAGTAAAGGAAATGAACGGAGCCACCCATAGCCCTTTCAATTAGAAAAGACCGGAAGTGTTCGGCCCTTTTGGGATTTTGTACGTATATTAGACTATGCGAAATTTAACGACCCTTAAACTATTTTTAACATGTTCTTAGGTATTAATTTTATGTTTTGTACAAAATTATTTAATATAAGATGTATTAATTATTATCACTTTTGAAGAAACAGTCAAACTGTTAAAATTTGATTTGAAAGGCGGATATGAGTCACACGTTGTGACCGACAGGTAGTGGGTCAGTAGACGCCTGGTGATGTTGACAATGTTTAGTTAGTAGTTTTAGGATTGTTTATGTACATTTACTATCTTTTCAATTCAATTTAGCTTTTATTCTGAACTGTAAACTCGACATTTTCAAGAGTTCTTTGCACACTTTTCTATTCTATTTTATTTTATTTATTTATCATTTTATTCTTTAAAAGTTTTCATCTTTTCATCCCTAATTTGGGATGGTGACCAGAATTGTACTCAACAGTGGGCTCCATATTTGAGAACCCTCCTCAACAGCTGCTCCATGTACCAGGTCAAAGTTGTTACACATTTGAATTTACTCGCGTGAAATAATTGGATATATAATATTTTTTTATTTTTTTATTTTATGTATTAATAATATATGTAATAATTAAAAATATAGAATTGTATTTTACCACTAATGTAGTAGGAATAAAAATATTATGTCTAATTGTATAAAGGACAAAGCAATATAATAGTAGCAATATTGTAATGTAAATCTTCATAATGTGTAATGTGCAACAGTGCAATACGTATAATGTTATCATGTAGCAGCAATCTATATTATATTTAGTTAAAGACATGGGTTTCCCATGGGTTGCCATGCAAATAACTGACAATCTCAGCTCAAGTTAAAACTAACCTCCCTTTGACCTTTATGAGGATTTTAAAAAAAGTCCACTTTCTCTGCAGTGGATTGGGCCCAATGTCTAACCTATTTAACTCTTTATATAAATTGTTCATAAAAACACAACAGTTACTTTGAGAAGTAGTCCTGAAACCAAATTGTCCTCGCCATTTATTTT